TAGTAGGAGTAGTAGTAGTAGTAGTAGTAGTAGAAAAACCTGATAAGAAAAATTAGTCACATTTATAATAAAGAAAACAATTTGAATAGTTTTATGTGTGAGTTTTATATCGTCTGATATTTATTTATTTTTCTGAGGAAGAAATTGCAGTGACTTATAATAGGTGGGTTGTGTTTAACAGTAAAATCCAGAAGGCATAATTCATCCTAATCAGGACTTATCAGCTGGATTCACCTTTATCCTAGTGTTGATGCTTACACTAGGACTTGAGTATAGTACTTTTGCTTCAGTTGCTCAACGCCTTAATCATTGAGCCACAATGTCCAGTTACTCGCCATCTTGTCCACATTGTTATAAGTAAATGTTTTAGTTCACCCATCGTTCAAATTGCCTTTCACAACTCCCATTTGTATGACTGAATAACGATATACAATATATTAATATTCAGTATCATCCTATGATATCACGTCTGTCTTGGTAAAAACGTGGTATCAGTCCTTGAACTCACTAACGCCTAGTCTGAGCCATGTTGGTAGATGCAGACTACTTGGTCAAGGTCCGCGTGACTATCGTAACCAATGTTCGGAAACTCTGGATGATATGGCCCCGAATCAATCACAATGGCATCGGTGTCTACACTCTTTGTCCTCCCTTAAACCGTAAGACTAAGATCGCCTCAAATCTTTCTTTCTACGAACTAATTCTTTCTTCCGGTAACATATTCTTATACACAATCTTTCTTCTATATATCAATACCATTGAAGTGACTACTTCTATGAATTCGGTGTTCATCTTGTTGTGCTAATGACGTATGGCAACTTGGACCAATACATATATGTTCCTGGTCCCACGTTGTAGTAAAAAGTGTTTCTACTAATATAGTTTAAAAACGCTATCTTGGTTGTGTAAAGTATTGACAAGAAAATAGTTCAGTAAGCTTTAAAGGTTAATGTTCTGAACATTACAATTGAAATGTCTTATGTATCATTAGACAAGCTAAGGAATAACTGAAGCCTTGTTATGAAACCCACTTTAAATAACTTTTATGGTTTGTACTAAAGCAAGAAAGTTACATGTAAATGCAACTGATTCACTCAGTTCAATTTGTTTTTGTTTTTTTTTAAATTTCCATTACATTTACCGAAACGTGATAGATATACATACGATTACAATAGTTCCATAACCTATATCCTTAAATTTCAAACAAAATAAAAAAAGAAATTACAAGAGAACCTTAATCCAGTGCATTACATAACCATTGATAATACTTACTACCTCAAACAGTTTGAAACATGAATGGGCGATAAAATTATACCTTTCAAAATACAATAAATGATCATTCAAATTAAGACTATTAATGACAAGTGTTGTCCATGCCTCAATATTCCCAATATTTAGTAATTGTGACTCTATTTATATATATTCTGAAAAGAAAAATTACAAAATTCATGCCAGTCTACAGGAATTATCACCTTGATACGAATAGTAACATTGAATGTACGGAAAACAATATGTGATATAAGATTGTTTTAAGTTTACTAATTCAAAAACTGTGTTATAGCGATGAATTTCATCAGCTACGAACTTTTAATTCTTCTTTGGTGGACATTCTGTTGATGTATGAATGGTGCATCTAAGATCATTTCTTACGCCATAACGAATTTATTATAGCTATGTTTGACTAGAGAAAATAAAGTAGAAGCAGAGAGCATAGAAAAAAGGGCAATAATTATTACGATAGGTTAGTTCGGTCTATTATAATACATATTAGAACAACACATATAAGCGAACAATTGTTTTCAATTAGATCGTCATCAGGCTTTACTCTAATATACATGAATATTTATACGAAAATTTTAAACCAATCAAGGCAATATGAGTCAATAATCACAATGAAATAGAATAAGTCTCTACATATAATAGGTAAAAGTACAAGTTGATAGTAGGAAGGCAGGTGAACTGATAATAGTAAGAATAATAGAATACGATAACAAAAGTCTTATCAATAGTTAAACGTTGGGAATAGAAGGTCAAACAAACGTGGGTAAGTAGACTAGGAATAGGAATCACAAAACATTAAAATCATTACGTAATAAGATATGTGTAAATAATTAGATAGTGAAGAATACAAAGAGGTGGAAAATTACAAACAAATAATGGATGTGGAAATAAGGTTAACGATTACACAAATAGAATAAAATAAATAATGAAAATAATAAATTTTTTAAAAAAATTGTTAGTTAAGTTATAACTGGCCATGGAAGGGATAAGGGGGTCACGTATTTCTTCTGTACACATAAATTGGGGTTGTTTGTACGAATCCCAATGGCTTCAGCTATATGTAGGAGACGGGAACGGACTCCGTCGGGAAATGATGGAGGTATACGATAGATCACTCGAAATGCTTCCGATTTATCTACAGTATGAATGCTATCAATAAGATGATTGATTGGTTCGTATAAATATTCATGTATATTGGAGTAAAGCCTGATGACGATCTAATTGAAAACAATTGTTCGCTTATATGTGTTGTTCTAATTTTCACAATGGGAATCCTTAATATTATAATACATATGCCAGGTTATTTTCTGATTTACCATTTATGTTAGATATTATCCAAAGTAGTTAAGGTTGCTAAGGACAATGTTAGTGTAAAATAACGGCAGGTAAGTGGTTTTGCTTAGTGGATTCAGTAATATGAATGGCTAAACATTTAAAATTCTTATAATCTCACTTGTGGAGTAAGATACACTTACAGGTTTTAGAACATTTAATGCAATGTATTTGCTCAACTATAACTCTCACTTAAGACTTGATATATCACATGTTTGTAAGCTTTCACTGAATATCGATAACTTGAATGAGCTGTCGCAGGGTAGCCTCAACTAGTTGATCTATTAAGTAGAAAAAATAGTTTTAATTTGTTGAATTACATTGTTTAAAGTCTTCATGCCGTTAAAACCATTTTCTTTGAAGAATAGTTTTGACGTAATGTTCGGATTTAAAATTTAATTACATTCCGAATATTGACTAGTTGTCGAAATATATGGACAAACATTTCATTTTATTATAGATTTAGTGGTTTCTAAGTGTTCATATTCACAATAAAACTAGAATGTGGTACCCATCACTTAAAATCCCACATGATTATACATAAAACTACGGGATTCGATAAGACAATACATGTTTTACTCATGACAAAACAATTTATTTACAAAAACCTTCAATAGAATCTGTAGAATGTAGCTGACAATCGAAGTCAAGATACTTTTTTGGTCCTATTTAGAACTGATCAGCTGAATATATTTATATTGTGGATTAGACAACAACTCTGGGTATATTCAGCTGATAGGTCACAAACAAGATCAAATGAGCCCCACATTATATTCATTGTATGTAAACATGTGATATAATAGTTATTCCGATGCAATTGGACAGAATGTACATACACTAATAAAGACGAGTTAGAATATAAAGACTTTTCACAAAAGGATAAACTAATCTTAAAATGAAATAAAATGTAGCAATCTAAATAATCCAAACGTTTTATACTAGTTAAATTAAAATCTATCTAGTAGTTGAATTCATGAGTGAAATAAAGCGAGATCACTATGGAAAACCTAGAAGCACTAGAAAACCATTTCGTACTAGTGCGAGACTTCTCAATACACATCTACGACCCCTCTCGCCGGATTCCAACCAGGGAAATTTGACCTCGCACACGAATGCTTAACCTCTAGATCACAGAGCCGGCACCCCACAGTGTTCATGGCTAACTTCAACCAATGAACTCATGAATTCAACTATTACATTACTACAATCTTTACAAAAAATCCAACCTTTCTAATAAAAATTTATTTGTATCAGAAGGGGTTTTGTGGAGATTTTAGTAATTTCAATAGTTGATATCATGAGTTAATCAAAGCTAGACCACAATGGAAAATCTGGAAGCACTGGGTGGCGGTATCGTCTTTCCAGGTTTTCCATGATAATTCATTTGATAAAGAATTTCTATTTAGGAAGCTTCTAAGTTATCTAGTAAGTCACCGATATACAAAATACTGTCGCGTAATTTCTCTTCGATAATAACGATCAACTTCTGCAGAATTCTATTAATATCAATGGAAAAAATTTATACAGCGTTGTTTCGAATTCGAAAAGATCGAATTTTGAAATTGGATAGTCAGATGTAGTTTACAACATAACATAGGTTTTCGTAGTCTTCTGTACTCATCAAGGAATATAAGGTGAATTCAACATGTTAATTCATCTTACAAATGATTTTTGTCTATTGGACGTATAGGTGGATTACAAACATGTGGCATAGTATCTAAACCTCGAAAAGAAATAGTAACAATTCAATGAACAAGTCGACTGTTTTATCACCCAAATTTATATTTCACTCTTATACTACCGTAATGACTATCACAAATATTTCATCATGTTTAAATGGTTATTCATAAATCGAAAATCTTTATATTGCCTGATAAGAACTACTATCCGTCGTTTTAGTTCTGTTTCGTTGCGTTCTAACTAACGAAAATAATGTATATATTCAAAGTAACAAATTATATCTGATATTAATCAACGTATGGTCACTAGCGGCGGTGTCCGTGAGGTATTTACCTGGAGTTCTAGTGGTAAGCATTGAGTAGTGGAGTTCAACCGGGTGAGTTGTGAGATCGTAACTCACTGAAGATAATGTTGAATGTGTCGTTCAATTTTGTGGATTAGTTGAAGTTAGACATTAACATCATTAGATGTTGGCTCAGTGGTCTAGTTGTTAAGCACTCGCGCGCGATTCTGTCAGGTTGTTGGTTTGAATCTCGTGAGGCGAAATCGTGGATGTGCACTGCTGAGAAGTCCTACAGTAGGATGAAGTGGTCGTCCAGTGCCTCCAGACATTCCATCGTGGTTTGGCATCAATTGTCCCATGACCTCAACCATTGAAAATTTATTTATTTACAATTCATTTATTGTTTTGTTTTAATCATTTCTAGATCAATTAATTGAAAGTCTTGAATTATTAAAAATTCAATTAAATCAAACATTTTGTTCATATGAATTCATTATTAATAATCATTCAAATGAGAATTCTACAAATTATACATGGAATTGTTGGTATCATATTATGGAATTAATATCAAAATTTCGTTTAATATTAGAACAATCATTTTTAACACAAGATGATATTATATTAGATTTAATGTTTCCAGTTGATAATTATTTAATGCAATCTCTATTAGAAACATCATGTCAAACTTATATGACGGATTCAAAGAATATACAAGCTGAAGAATTAGATGAAAAGATTAAGTAAGTTGATTTTTATAGTAATGAATAAATTTTATGTATATGATGATGATGATTTGAAGAAGTGAATAGATAGCTTGAAAACTATGAAAAATCATGAGGCATTACTCAACACATAGAAATATACCGAGAACATGAACGTCTAGCAAAATTCTTGATCATTATGTGTTGTTTAATTTACATATAGTTAATTTTAGAAAGTAATGGATCATTTTTTTGAGTTTTCCTTAACAACAAAAGCGGTAAGACTATATTTTTTGGACGACCTTTGATCTACACCGTGCTAACCTTGAGAGTGTCTACCTACTTAATAGAGCTAAATGAAGGTTATAAAGCAGTTTGAAGAATAAAGACAATGAGTTACAGTTGATGTTTACGGTTAGGTTTTGAATTTACGCTTTTCATCACGAATTGACATCAGTTAAACTGCCACAACCCTATTTGGACGAATGGGTGAGCGAATTTTGCGCTAAAATTCAAGACCTGTTATCCTAAATCTGATTGGTTCATCCATAAATTATGGTCTTGCCAATAAAAAGCTTGATTATTTATTATGATTGGACTCCATAGTTATTTTTTATATATTTTGTGTGGCCTGCTTGAATATCTGGGCTTCCTGTTCTTGCCATCTGGATATTTAAACGAATTGCCTATTAGTCTCATAACCTATTCAGGTGCGTTTACGGCGTTTCGCTATACAAGTAACAAAAGAGCTCAATGGTCGCTGGCTATATGCATTGAAAAAAATATACATTATTCAGATGTCGATTGCTGAGCTGCTAACATCTAACTGGCGACCACTAAACATTAATTTCAAGGATCGATCAAGAAATAGGAAAAGGAAATCTATTGAAATAATTTATGCTAAGAATTCTATACTGCACCAAATATAGTATTGAATAAAGCCTATAATAATAATATAAAAAGAATATCTTTAGTTCATGATATGTGCTTATATTTAAAACAGAACTGTGACAAGCGATCCCTAAGAAAGATCACTCTATATTCACTAGATTTGAGGTAAATAAATTTAATAGGAGTTTTGTGGAGAGTTTAGTAATTTCATAGTTGAATTCATGAGTCCATTAAAACTAGACAAACCTGGTCAACGATGTTTCCATTTCGTGGATTGGTTGAAATTAGACATTAACACCGTTGGATGCAGGCTCAGTGGTCTAGTGGTTAAGCGATCGCACGCGAGACTGATAGATCCTGGGTTCAAAACTCGTGAGGCGGGATCGTGGATGTGCACTTCTGAGGAGTCCCACAATGAAACGAAACGACCGTTTATTGCTCCCAGATCTTCCATGGTGATCTAACTTCAATTAATTCATGAATTCAACTGTAAAGAAATTTATTCAGTTATATATGGAAGCGTTTAATGATTAGAAATGAATTATTCCAATTATATCAGTTGGGCAACGTGAATATACATTAAGCATTTCAATATACAATGATGAATAAACAACTGGGGAAAAATAAACTAAATAAGTTATACTCATGATACTATGTCGGTATAGATGTATTCAATTTTTTAAATTCTAGAATATTCTATACTTTTTAACCAAAGTAACAAATGGAGAGATACATTCTTAATAACATCAACAACAAAAACTTGTACTCGTTTCTTATAAACTATAGTGACTAATAAAATGTAACCATACATGAAAAGTCCCTGTAATCTTGAGGAAACTGGTGCTCCTCGGCGGACTCAACCCCGTGTCACCCCGGCTTCACAGTCAGAGACGCTACCACTGAGCTATCCGGGCCGTGACCAGCCACCTTGCTGACGAGTGCCGAGTAGCACGAAAACCCGGGTCCAGCGTTTCCTGTCGACTACCTCCAACCACCATCTAATCTCAATATATATAGTGCACGCAGTGTCGAGTCACTTAGACTAGTGGCCACATTGCAACATGGTCGATAGCATTCGATCTGCACTAAATAAGGACTTGACACATATGACATTGATCACCATCCAGTGATCAATCAACTGTGAATACATGAATAGTATTTGATTATAAATGTTTAGTTATGAAAACATTATTTTTTGTTGTTGTTGAAAAATCCATTGTTCATTCACATGTTGTGTGTTGTAAAAGATGATGTGCCAATTAAATAAGTCATGTCAACTAGACTATTTATCGTTTTTTTTTGTTTTTTTTTCAACTGATACCATGGAAATTTGTGATAATTTTTAGAATTAGTTGTTTTTTTTTTGTTTATTTGTTAAGAAAGTTTCATTATAATTTTCAAAATTGTCACTGATTTAAATTTAATGAAAGAATTTATTGTAAGAAAATCTTTTTGACTATGACTTTGTTATAAAATTTTAAAACTTCCCATTGTTGATGCTATGGACTAAATGATCAAGCCAATGGTTATTTGAACTCAGGAATTTAGTGGATAATACATATGGTGTTTGAGGTGAAAGATATTGAGTCCGAGTATCTGGGATGTAGAAATATCGAGCTGATAAGTTCTGAATAGGAAGAAACGTGTATCTTCAATTCTAGCGCCAGCCACTAATCAACTATGCTTAAAAATCCCAGCTTTAAGTTGTAATAAGACAAAAACTGACGTTAAATTGCTTTATATTCATAAATATTTCTTATTTAATATAGAATCCTTGCTAATTTTTCGGGTTATAGGATAACTAGTTTTATACTATAAATATTTAGACTTATATATTCAGAACAAATAATACAATACAGTTTACTTTTATGTTCATTGACGGCGAGACTATAATTTATGGATGAACCAATCAGATTTAAGAAAATAGGTCTTGGTTTTTGGCGCAAAATTCATTCATCCATTTGGCTAAATAACGTTTTGACATTTCAGCTGATGTCAGTTCGTGATGAAAACCCTAAATCTAATTTCTAACCGTAACTATCAACTATAAATCATAATATTCTAATTCTTCACACTAGTTTATAACCCTCATTTAGTTCTATTAAGTAGGTGGACATTTTCAAGGTCGTCCATAAATTATAGTTTCACCTATAAAAGTAGTTAGTAATAAACTTAATTACTGATAAAAAAAGAAGCTCTTCATCAAGAAGTAATAAATCCATTATACGGAATGTCAGTCTGAAACTTAATTGAACGATATGCATAATCAAATGACTTTTTTTGGATTTTACTATTTATGAGATAGATACCATTCGCAGAAACATTTGTTCATGTTTTGTATTACTAGCGTTTATGTTTCGAGTAATGTAGAGGTTAGCAACCGTTAGTTTTGCTTATAATCCCAAAATATAACTTGCATATTTTAAATACAATTCAAATTATCAGTATTTTTCTTTTACTAAAGTATTTCTTTTCAACTGACATAATTATAAGGATATTTCTGTTATTGATGGGGAACATTTCATATCCTCTCTGTAAACGAGTAATTAGTCAATTTCAGTTCTAAGGAAATCGATGAACTTCAATGCAAAAACTGTTACGTAAAAATAAACATTATTAGTTTGATGAAAATTTTCATTGAATAAAATCAAAAGAAACCTTGAACCGATAGTAATTAGTTTTAGATATTATCTAAGTTACAGTTTAAGGTGAAAAAAAGATGTATGAGTGTTTACCGAAACATAATGATATAATTCATTTACAGATTCATTTACTTAGCTTTAATTACAGTTCTTTAGGTATGATGGGGCTAGTGAGTTTTCCAAATACATGCACGCCCGAATGGTTGAAAGACAACTAAGTTACTCTCTAGGACATCACTTTTTTTTCTCTATAGTTCTCATGTTTGAGTTGATTAACATAATTTTTGATCTATGAATTTTTGTGTTTTAATGGTAAGGAATTCATTTTTGTACCAGAGAATATTTTCATCCAAATACTTAAGCTCATGGATATTTGAACTTGGTAGCTAAATAAATAAAGTGATGGCGTTTGAAGCGAAGGGTAATAGACTCAAGTTTTGGAGTGAACATCTACACTGTGATGCAGGTGAATCCAGCTGCTGACTCCTATATAGGACGAAACGTGCATCCTGGAATCCACTGTTTAAACGAAAGTGTCTTCTAATGCTCAACACAAATAAGTTTAAAAATATAATCATAATAGTTGTAGGAAAACTTTAATTGTATTCAGTAAGATATCAATAAAAGGAAGGCTTATTCAAAATTTTATACCTCAATTGCCTATTTACACACAAACAAGCTTATATGTATCATTTATCGTCATTCAAATTAATGTTATGGAAAGTTAAAATGACATTCATCTTCTTCCCTGTTTCTTCACATTCATTACTGAAGATGTGAACATTTTACATTCTTTAATTCATGGAAGAATAATTTTATGTTTGTATTGATCGCATTTTTTCGGAAAAAAAATTTTAGCTAGATCGGTACTGATGTAGTAAATTTCTATTACATAACAGACAATATTTGGACTGCTAATAAAAACTGAAGGTAGAAATTTTATTTGACATTTATGTATACATATGTCTGATATAAAAATATTCAGTAGTATTTATAATTGATTATCCTGAAATATAGATGTAATCTAGTTTCTTACATTTGTATCATTTACAAGATCCGGTCAAAGATTTCTAAAGGTTCATATCTTCAATTATATTGTGGATTGTAAACATTTTGGTCATTCACAGTCTATTTCTAAAGTTATGTGTACAAAAATAACTGGCTTTAAAACTTTGGCTTCAACATAGTTTTCTATCATGTTTAGAAAAATATTTCTTCATAATTATGGACATTATCTCCATGTTGGTGTTCAGTGCAGAATTCTGATCGATGTTGATTAGCAGGATTTCCTGATTATCTCTGAAATTAGATGCTGTCCACTTTTATGATTAAAACATCCTTGAATTTCATAAATCACCTTTCTCCATAACTACTTAATCAAAAATATATAGTTGACTTTCCCCTTAAAACGAACTATAATAACATCATTGCAAACTTGAAGTTTAACTGAAGCAAAATAGTGTAAGACAAATACTTCATCAAACAACTGGACTCCTCAGCAGTGAG